AGTCATACTCCCTTCCAGGCCCCTGTCCTAGCCCTGATTTGCAACTCCTGTTATTCTTTTCTCAGTTATCATAGGTACCTGCATCCTTGGAATTTCTAAAAACTGCCACCATGTAGTGTTCCCTATCTAGGGCTGGTTTGTCCCATTTCCTGGATGAATGGTACTGCAAAAGTTGTTTCTAATCTACTCTGAACAGGAGCAATGGGTAGGGCATACAATGAATCCCTAGTGTTATGTTGACTGAGACCTTCAGCCTTGTTGGGGAAAAAACACTTGTCTTATTTTCTGAAGAGACCTAGCTGTTGAAACACTTTTTTTTTTTAAATACCCATTCACCTTTGTTCTCCTGTCAGGGTACGAACAGAAAGGCTGGTGACATGCTGGGCACTCTACTCACTCCCTCGTGTTCATTACCTAATTCTCACAATAGCCAGTCTTGGTAGATCAGGGAATTGAACTGTTTTGAGATACCATTGTATCTCTATTGCTGATCATAGGACCTGGCATGTAGTAGGTGCTCAATAAAGGTTTATTGGATAAGTGAAAGTGAGTGAGAAAAATGAGACCTAGAGAGGTGAAGTATTTTTCTAAAATTACTAGATACTAAGTTGTAGAGGAATCTTCTTAGAAGGAAGATTGGGCAATCTACTTGTGTAGTGATACTGCCTCAGAAACCCAAGGAGGGGTTACTATGAGTCCAAAGTCAGGTGTGATTGATGTCTTTGAATCAAAGAAATTAATATGACAGATATTGAACAGAGTAGGTAAATGGTTGAGCAAGGAGTACAGGAAGCAGGATCCAATTCATAGTGACCTTTCCTTGGGTTTCCAAGGCAGTATCACTATGGAAAGGAGCTCTGGTAGCGTAGTGCCTAAGTCACTTGACTGTTAACCAGAAGGATGGTGGTTCAAACCCACCAGCCACTCCTTGGAAGGAAGGTTGGGCAATCTACTTCCATAGTGATACTGCCTCAGAAACCCAAGGGGTCGCTATGAGTCGGGTCTGACTCAACGGCACATAGCAACAACAACAACATCACTATGGAAATAGATTGCTCAGTCTTCCTTCCAAGGAGTGGCTGGTGGATTTGAACTGCCAGCCTTCTGATTAGGAAATACCTTAGGAACTACACCACCAGAGCTCCCACTCTCCCTAGGATTAAGGGAGCAAAAGGAAGACATTGGGGCTGTTACATCCTAGCAGGTCAAGGAAGGTCCTGAGGAGCTGGAAGTCCTGAGGAGAGAGTGATGCCTTCTTCTTGGTGCTGGTATCTCTCAGGAAATGTGATGAGGCTGGTCTGGGAGTGGGACCAAATACCACTGCTACTTGGGGTGAACCTGACAGGAACAGGAAGGATCAAGTCCTTTCTTCCTTCTCCAGCCTTTCATACTCCCTCTAACACTCCCTACTGGCTATGCCCAACAGGCATCAGATAGCTGCAGAGTCCCAGCATCAGGAAGCTGAGTTTAGAAGGATGAGTGCGGAGCTGAAAGACAAGAGTGTAATAGAAGCACATTTTAGAAAATGTCCCCCTCCTGTTGCTAATGAACCTTTTCCTGTGATAATGATTTGTCTCATACTTTCTCATGAAATGGATCCTGACTAACTTGAATTTCAAAAATAAATAGAAAGTACTGGGAAAAAAGTTAGGCTAATAGTATTCCTGGAATATTTATTACCATCATATCCTGAAATTGATAGATACAAAGTCATGCGAAAGCTCTGACCTGAGTGATCCAATAATAAAATCAATTAGCACTGCTACTTAATTATCAGCATGTCAGACAGATGAGCACACCAAACAGAGTATTGATGGATGGAACTAATTCATCCATCTGGAAATAAAACCTGGTTCTACTGAAGTATTCAGGACTCTCAGCTTTAGGACTTGTGCCATTTCTCTCTCTCTCTCTCTCTCTCTCTCTCTCTCTATCTCTCTATCTTTAGTCAACAGAAATTTATTTTTACGTAATTTGGGAGATTACAAGTCTAGATTTAGGTTGCAGGCTTGTAGGGAAAGGCTTTCTCTCTGTCAGCTCTGGGGGAAGATCCTTTTCATTCTGCCCTCTCTTCTTTAGTTCCTTGGCGATCTTCCTGTGGTGTGGCATCTGTGCTTCCCTATCTGTACTTGCTTCTATGCCTAATCTGCTCCTTTTGTAGCTCAAAAGTGATTGGCTTAAAACATCTCACACTAATATGGCCTTGTTAATGTAACAAGGAAAACTCTGTTCCCAAAATAGAATTCTATCTACAAGTATAGGGGTTAGGATTTACAACATATATTTTTGGTGGACACAATTCAATTCATAACAATTACCATGATTAAAAAAAATAAATAAAAATCATTTGTCTTGCTGAGACATTTGGTACCTGAGACAAAATGGGTATTTATTTTCCCAGAACATGAAAGTAGTTGAAAAAAATGAAAGGTGGGTGTTTTGAAATTCACAACATCATTTTAAATTTAAATGTTTTATTTATACCAAAACAGAGTTTATTATGATTTTTCTTTCAGCTTAAGTTAGTTAAAATTTATTAAAGATTGTCACTTGGTTAAGAGAAATTGTCAAATGTGGCAATTTTGTCAAATGAAAGTGCAATAAGCAAAGCATGGGATTTTGAAAATCCTCTTGTTGAGTTTGCTTGCATCAAAGTGTGTTGTTTATTGTTGGGTGCTGTCCCAGTGACCCCTTGTGACAGAGTAGACCTGCCATAGATTGTGCCACCTTCTCAGTGGCTTACCTCCTTCATTCACCCAACGCTTTTTCATTTCAGGTTCTAGATGATGGAAAAGGAGTCTCTGGGTTTCTCCTGGCAGAAAGGATTTGGGATAGATGGTATGATGGATAACTTCTGCTTTCGTGAAGTCACTATCATTCACCTAGCTCTGGGCCCTGGCTTCTGCAGACCCTTTAAAGGCACTTTGTGGACTGGTGACAGGGATCAGCACTCTGTATGCTCTGTTAACCTAAACTCTGTACTGGGGCATACAAAGGTCTCTGTGACTGCCCCAATGAAACTTAAATTCAGAAGGTAAAGACCAACTCTGCATAGCTAGCTAAGAATCCCCAAAGAAAGGAGTCAGTAATGATAGGAGTAGCAAAGTTTCAAAATGGCCTTCTTAGTTGTACAGTCCCTTATTAGTTCCGGTTACCTGACAGGATTTACCACAAATGGGATGGCATTAACAAACAGGAGTTTATTCTCTCACAATTTGGAGGCTTTAAGTCCAAGTTCAAAGTGCTAGACTCTAGGGGCTGTGTGAAAGCCCCTCGACCTTGGGCTTCAGCTCCGCCTTTCTCCCAGCCCACTGAAGCTAGAGGCCTTTCTTCACTCAGGCAGCTACTGGCTGCTGAGGCTAACAAGCCCACGGTTGACAAATAAAATGGCACAGTCCTGATGTTACCAAACCACACAGCAGGCCATTAATTCAAGTCTCAAGGTTGGCAGAGCACAGCAGGCTGCTAAACAATGACACAGCTACATGCAGGGTCCAAGCATGCCATAAGCTAGGGACCATTCCCCAAGGCTTCTGCTTAAATACAGGAAGCAGACCGCATCACTAAGACAGCTACTCAGCTGCTCACAGTAGATCCCACCATGGAGTTGATTACCAGTCTCTTCATGGGGAGTACTACATTCAGCTGCCCAGCCACTCAACCAGGCCCAGCCAAAGTGACACACAAACTTAACCACCACATTAGTCTACCTGCAACTCTGTCTTTTTTCTCAGGCTGTTGGTCCAGTGGTGTGCCATATGGTGGTTTCCAAACCAGTATTCACCATTTCTGATATACAGATGATTTGGTGACATTTTTATTTCCAGCAAACCAAATACCTACAGGGTTTGGCTTACTTGGTTAACTCTAGAACTGTGAGTAGGGAAGGCCTTGAAGTCAGCAGAGATAGAAGAACCATTATTAGAAAACCTTCCCATGTCTGAGAGTGTGTAAGGGAGGGCAGCAGGGGAGATAGAATTTATCTGTGCTGTGGAGAAAAGGACATCTAATTAATTGCTGGCTTCTCCCATTACTGCCTGTCTGGCCTTGGGTGAATCACTTGGCTTCTTTGAGCCTGTTTTCTCCTCTGTAAATTGAAGATTTCATTTGCCTTCCAGAGTTGTTATAGTAATTAATTTTTGTTCTAGTTACCTAGTGCCACTCTGACAGGAGTATACCACAAATGGGATGGCCTTAACAAACAGGAGTTTATTCTCTTACAGTTCAGAAGGCTAGAAGTCTGAGTTCAAAGTGCCAGGCTTTAGGGGCTGTGTGAAAGCCCCTCAACCTTGGGCTTCAGCTCAGCCTCCTGCTCCTGGCCCAATGAAGCTAGGAGCAGCTCTTCACTCAGGCAGCTACTGGCTGCTGAGGCTGACAAGCCCAAGGTTGACAAATAAAATGGCACAGTCCTGATGTTACCAAACCACACGGCAGGCTGTTAATTCAAGTCCATTGTAAGTTCCAAGGTCGGCAGAGCATGGTGGGCTGCTGAACGACAACATGGCTACGTGCAGGGTCCAAGCATGCCATAAACTGGAGACTATCCCCAAGGCTTCTCCTTATATACAGGAA